GACTGTGGACGATGTGCTCCAATACTTTACACACCACTGAGGTAAGAGATATTGGCCTTTAATTAGCAGCTACGGTCCTGCTTCCTTTTTTGAAAACTGAAGTAACGTTTGCAGTCTTGTGGAATTTCTCCAGTATTGATAGATGTTTGAAAGAAGTCTTGTAAAGGTTTAGCAAGTTGGGAAGCTCCGATGTTCAAGAACCACGGGGAGATATTCTCTGGATCTTGGGTCTTTTTCGGATTCAGATTTCAAAGAAGTTTATCCATCCCTTCGGACGTGATTATGCAGATGCTTGATATTTGGGTAAGGGCTGGTTCCCAGAGAATGAGTATCTCCCGCTGGTTTATCGGTAAAAAAAAAAAAAAACACTATGGAACTGAACATTAAGGATAGCAGCTTTCTTCTTGTCATCACTCACAACTTTCACATTATTATCTAGATCGGCTATCCCAGAATACTGCTGTCGAATCTTCTTGATATATGACCAGAAAAATGTGGTGTTGTTCTTTAAAGCTGATCCAAGAGTGTCACTTGTATAAAGTTGTACGGACCTGTTTGAGATCCTTGTGGACATTACTTTTTGCTGAGCGGAAGTCATCCAAGTCAGATTGATTTCGAGTTTTTTTTGTAGAGTCGTTGTTTTTTCTTAATTTTCCTTCGTAGAGATCTTTAAGGGCAAGTTAAAACGCATGGTCATCTTGGTAGGAACAGTTCTGTTCATTATGTTAAGGATGGCTGTAAATACCGTCAAATATCACTAGCGCACATCCCAACTGTCGCATCAATGTAGTCTGAAACCAATTTTCCAAGCTCATCTGTAATTTTAACTTTCTCGACTTTTCTCTAAAGATAAACTTTCCTCTTTGTAGGGCGTTTTATAGTGGGGACAGCTTTTAAGTTGATAAGTGATGATCAGCGATCCCATCTGTCATCAGGATTTCTCTAATGATATCAGGAGTATTTGTGAATACTAGTCTAATTTGTTCTCTGCACAGCCGTGATTGGATCTAGTTGAGTCCATGACATGTTGTTATAATCCCATCTCCTCAACCATACCACCAACCGTACCGTATCCACTTCTTGGGATGACAAGGTTGCTTAAAGTTAATGCTAGGTAAATTCAACTGTGAGTACAACATCATGGGTATTGATTTTATATCCCATTTTAGTACGGCATTGATGAAGTTTGTCTATTTTGTCTCCGGTACTGTATTTTTGTGAGCGATAGTAGACCCTAGATGAAATAGGTTTTCTGTCCATAGCACCTCACAATCTGTGTCAAGATCATTGCAAACTGTAGAGGTTAAGAAGAAGAAGAAGAAGAAGAAGAAGAATAAGAAGAAGAAGAAGAGCAACAGCAACAACATTGATTTAATAAGAAATAAAGTTGAAATTGCAACAAAAAGAAGAGTCGTTTAAAGATGTAAAGTAAAAAAGGCACGGAAAACAAATATAATTTTAATGCAGTTGAAAAAAATGAATTGGAAAAAAAACAAACGAAAACCAAGTTCACTGCGACTTTATTAGTGAGATTTGAACTATGGCTGTAATGGTAATAGCGAGGTACATCGTGACTCATAACCATTGCGCACCATATAAGCCGACCTTGAATAGAAAAGTACTTTTTCAGTTCATAGCGATAAAATGACTGAAAGAAAAAATATACATGTCACGGTTGTTTTGAATTTAACCTAGCTGTAACTGGTTTAAGCTACGTTCACATCAAGCCCGGATTCCGGTCCGGAGTCCGGAGAAAAAATCGTGAGAAATGGCTTTAGTGGTAAAGAATAGAAGCGTTCACATCTACACAGTCCGATTTTTTCCCCGGACTCCGGATTCGGAGCAATGGATCAGAAAACCATTGGAAACGTGAATCCGAACGGATTTTTATTTCTGACTAATCAGCAACAAGCGTGAATGACCCCAACGCTAGCTCTGAACTGAAACAGCTCGAAAAAGTCAGCGCGAGAAAAGATACTGTGTGCCGTGCCGGGATTTGTTTTTGCTTTTTAATTTTATGCTGTATTTTAGGCGTAACTTGCATCACACATCAAACAACATATTCACTAAAAAAGATAAGTATATTTCTAGTTTTCTTATTAAAAATAAAGTTAACAATGAACTTCTCTCAGCTCTCTACTCTAGCCTAGGCACTAGCCTAGGCTTCATTCCTAGTGATAATAGAGGGGTGAGGTGAGGGCCTATTGTCTGTCTGTGGGGCCGGAACACGCACGCACGGCCCTTTTTTAATCAATAAATATTTATTCAATATATATTTTTATTTCAAATGGTTGTTTTTCCATCGTTTTTCCCTTGAAAAGCTCAGGATTTCTTGCAAATATGTTTACTGGTACACCAAAAACATACTTTTTTTTTTAAATATATAAACTTGATTGCATTATGACTTTTTATATGTGTCCCTACCATTGATTTACTTGTGAACATCGGTAAATTAGAGGCAGTTTGCAAAAAAAAAAAAAAAAAAAAAAAACCTCCCTCATCAGTCTTTTCTTTGATACTTTGATTTGATAGGGTGATAAACAAACAATTTTTTATGGGGCCTAACCTGGCAGATAAACACTACAACAAGGATACCAGCCGGGAAAAAATGATGGGAGGGAAATATATAATGCTTATATCAGGCGTAGCCTGAGATTTAACTTGGCCTGGCCATTACTAGGCTCTATGAAAGGAACATGTTTTGGCAGAGTCTACTCTCAATGTATCATCATAAAAATTATAAATAGTGTAGCCTAATACTGAATAACAAATTGTAGTTATTGAAACAGTGGATAAACAATGCAAATTATAAATTACATACCCAAATTATTTATACAAGTAACAATAATTGATAAAATTAATAATTTTATTTTACTTATCATTGTTTAGCCAGTTCATAGTTTGCTGAACAAATTATACTGACAAGTAATATAATTCACACAAGAGCAGTACATTATTTTAGCAATTAAAAAAAAATTCAGACTCCAACTCATTGAAAAACTGAAAGAGAAACTAATAATTAATTATAAAAACTTTATAGGCATACAAATTTTATGACTATGTGATGCAGTATTTGAAAAATATTTTATTGTATTACAATTTACTATAAGCAGAATTTTTTTAATTTTGTTTCAGAAGTACTAGAAACTTATCGATAGATGATGAAACAATGCGAACACCTACTGCATAACATTGGAGTCGTAGTAGTTGCTGATAAAGTAGAGGGAACCCCACAAAAGACAAAAAATTCCCCCAAGTTTACCACTAAAAAGGAAAATGGTGAAAACCAAATATGCGAATTCTAAAATAGTGAAGTATTTGACAGCAAAGAAGGAAAAAGATCCATTGGCCAGATTTTGAGTCTAGAAAACAAACTGTGCACAGACTTCCCAAGGCCAAACAAGTCCAAGTCAAAAATTAGTAATATTTCATTTCGTAGGTACGAGGGTCAAGGATATGCCAATAAGTGAACTTAATTGCTATCCTACATGGCATAACCATTAAACGACCGGACTGAATGAAAAAAATTGTTGTTTGTATGCTTACTCTGATTTGATTTAGTTATTTTAATTAAAAATGTACTGTTCCTCACAAATAGTTGCACTTTTAATTTGAATTGTTTATTTATAATGATCACAAAAGTTAAGAACAGTCAATAAGAAAGGTTGCAAAAATAAATTAGTGGTATGCTATAAATACTGTTATAACAAATTTTCTGGTAAGCTTATAGTTCATGATAGAGTCAACATAAAGTAGATTAGATAGGACTAAAGTGCAAGTGCTGCTGTAGAATGTATTTTTGGGGAGGGGCTGAGTGAGATATGGATAACTGTGGCACGCATTGACATCTGAGGGCCTTCCGACCAAGCCGGGTGGATGGTTTGGGAGGGGGTATCCTAATGAGATTTTTTTTTTCAAATAGGACCTCTGGATATCCAGAAATGGCGCTCTCTCAGACTGGAAAAATACTCTTAAGTATTTGATAAAGTACAATTAAGATCTATAAACTCAGCTCAATAAACACACA